AGCTCGCTTGACGTGTGGCTTTTGCGGGAGGTCTCGTGCGAAACGCTCATTTTTGAGACTTGACATGTGCTCTTTCCCAGAAAACCTTTCGCGTTTAGCTCAGGCGTGGCCCTTTTGTAGGACAAATTCAGTATATGAGGGGCCGTGCAAAAGTGTCCCACAAGAGCCCACGAGAACGTACAAGTTTGTCAAGCAAGAGGGTTGCTTCAGAAGAGTGTCAAGCAAGAGTGCAGTACAAGAGTACCCCAAAAGGGTGTTCTACAAGAATGTCAAGCAAGAGTGTCTTAGAAGAGTGTCAAGCAAGAGTGTCTCACAATATTGTCCAACAAGTGTGTGGCCAAGCATGAGATATTCAAAAAGAAATTGTTTTGCTTTGGGGTTCGTGGGCTTCATCTTGTTCTTGTTCTTTCGTCTTTCACCTGAGTTAATCCAAGAGACTGGCCTCGGTAAGTGCTGCCAGACCGCGCTTCACTGACATGTACAAATTCACCTTGACGAATGCACTGCCAGCCTCATCACGTAACATGTCAGTCCACTCCCTCAGCCGACTGATCTCAGCAGATCTTGCTTCGAACTGCCTGGCCTTTGCAAGCAGCGCTTGATCTGCCGTCCGGCCAATCTCTTCTGCCCTTTTCATCAAAGTCTGTTCCTGTAATTTCAGCGCTTCATACAAGCTGAGAAATGATCTTTTGAGCTCTTGCTTTCCTTTGCTCGACATGGAGTCCAATTGCTGTATCAGCTCCGCCTTTGGTGGTTTGCGCAAACGGGCTCCGGCCGACTCCAACAGCTGTCGGATAGTCCCCAAGAGTTGGTTGAATGCTGTTTTGGCACTCACAACGTCATGACCATGATGGGGTCTGTCACGCTGCACCGTGCATTCCGCACAAATACATTCAGTGCAATCCAAGCAAAAAAAGTGAAGTGGTTCCCCATGCTCTGCACAATATTCGGTTGATTGAAGAGGCACGGCAAACATATTCCGTGGCGTAGGGGCAGCCAAAGGAGAAGACCTGTGCTCTTTCATTCTACCCACCCTGTGCATGTTGTTGTAACAACTTTGACAAAAGAGCTCATCGCATTGAGAGCACCTTACATCAGCCACGTTCACTTCACACTGGCCACATACCATGTCTTGCTGTGAACATTCAGAATGACGATTGCCATTTGCTGGACTTTGGGGTGGCAAGACAGGGAGCGAGGCCACGGCTGTGATAGGGAGACCGGGACTGCGATCACGGCGATCGTGATCACGATCACTTGCCTCAGCACTTTTTCGCTCCTGCAGCTCCTGTCTTGCCGGCCTTGGCTCCTTAGCTCCTTGGCCTTGGCCTGTCATTTCATCAACTTCACTTCGTGAAGTTGAAAAAGCAGATGGTAATGAGGCCATCTGCGATGGTACAGATGGAACGGATGGTGTTGATTGGAGAGACTGGAGAGAGTGAATCTGCTGAGCAGCTCCAGCCTCCACTTCCGTCACGGATCCACAACTTGGGCAGGCAGCGAAAGCAGCAAAAGCACGTTGCGTTGTCGGTGTCACTTTGGACACCTGCAATTGCTGCAACTGCTCGTAGGCACATCGTAAGCACAAGCGATGACTGCAAATCAACACCAGTGACACTTCCAGAGGGTGCAAGGAGCAACCTGCGCAAACCTCCTCCGGTCCTTCCATGCTGGTCATCTACCAGGAATGAATTACGCATCATGGCAGCTTGATCAAGAATGTGTGGCAGTCAGGGGACAAAACATATGCTGCCTTAACATGAAGCATGTGACACCTCGCCATACCGTTTGCATGGCGCACTAGGGCTTTGTTCATCATCTCCTGCACAGCTCAAGACAGCAGCTTTTCCGAGGTCGAACGTTGCCTAGAAATGTCGGAAGCACTAAAAAATTTAGCCATTAGAAACAAGTGCCACGCTAGTAGTAACAGGTGCCTTACTAGTAG